GACGCGAGACCAACGCCAGAATCCGTTTCGCGCGATCAACTTTCGACTTCCGTAAAAAAAAATTTGCACCCTTTTGGACCAAGTATACAGGGCCCGAAGGGTGGATCCTAGGGGGGTGGAGTACGGGACCGAAATTGTAGCCCTTCGCGAGACCGATCGATGTCCCTCGGGAGACAACCCTCCCCCGTCAACGGTTTCCGAGTTACGGACCCAAAATGGCTAGGGGCGCTTTGCACCCCTATAACTGAGGAACGGAGATAGATATCGACGCGAGACCAACGCCAGAATCCGTTTCGCGCGATCAACTTTCGACTTCCGTAAAAAAAAATTTGCACCCTTTTGGACCAAGTATACAGGGCCCGAAGGGTGGATCCTAGGGGGGTGGAGTACGGGACCGAAATTGTAGCCCTTCGCGAGACCGATCGATGTCCCTCGGGTGCCAATCTCGCCGCGTCAACGGTTTTCGAGTTACGGACCAAAAATAGGAAGGGGCGCTTTGCACCCCTATAACTGAGGAACGGAGATAGATATCGACGCGAGACCAACGCCAGAATCCGTTTCGCGCGATCAACTTTCGATTTCCGTAAAGAAAAATTTGCACCCCTTTGGACCAAGTATACAGGGCCCGAAGGGTGGATCCTAGGGGGGTGGAGTACGGGACCGAAATTGTAGCCCTTCGCGAGACCGATCGATGTCCCTCGGGAGACAACCCTCCCCCGTCAACGGTTTCCGAGTTACGGACCCAAAATGGCAAGGGGCGCTTTGCACCCCTATAACTGAGGAACGGAGATAGATATCGACGCGAAACAAACGCCAGAATCCGTTTCGCGTGACCAATTTTCGATTTCCGTAATAAAAAAAAATTGCAAAAAAGCTGGAACACCGTAACCCTTACATTATAGCGATGATTATTCTTTGGTTCGTAATTTAGCTTAGCCCAGGTTTTTATTTGCCTTACATTATACGTACGTAGGTTGATGGAATATATATATAAACGAACGAGGCTTGTTGAATAGAAAGATAGTTTTACACTCATTATTGTACCAATAATGTACTATTGGTAAATATAGCGAATAGGGAACCCGGCCCGAATGACCTTGATCTTGACCTACCAGCGTGGCGGGGAGCGGGAGGTGGACCGAAGGCCCCCTTTAACCCCCCCGTGTGTGTGTGTGTGAGCGCGCGCGCGCGCGCGTGCTTCCTGTCCGTGCATGTACTTTGGTATATTCCAAACTTTTTTGTTAATAATTTTTTAATAAGCAACGAGCGACGATTAAATTAGAAAAAAAAAGAAAGAAAAAGGTTACTCACAATTATGTCTTTGACAACATATGTCAAGGTCAAGGTCATTGGGGCTGGGTCTCCTATTCGCTATATTTACCCTTATTTTTTATTTTTGAACATCCTATATTTGTAAAAACTTGTGTTTATTTCAGTTTATATGTGTAGTATACGTAGGACTATTTCTGTAAACTAACTTAAATATCAAGTTATTTTTTTTCTCTGTCAGACTGTATAAATCTTGATTTTTACAAATTTTTGTTTGTTAATAATTTTCTAATAAGCAACGAGCGACGATTAAATTAGAAGAAAAAGTTACTCAGAATTATGTCCTTGATAACATATGTCAAGATCAAGGTCATTGGGGCTGGGTCTTCTATTCGCTATATTTACCGTACTATTAATGATAGACGTATCTATACACGCTCCAAACTGCACGTTTATTTCTACAATTGTTTGTTCGTTTAATAGTAAACACGATGAGTGAACAGATGAACCACTGGACCTGTTTCTCTCTTAGACCAAGTATGTAACTCGTAAACCAGCCGTTCCAAGGGAAAAGTGCATAGCACTTTTTTATAGAACTCGGTAATCCCTACAAGAATGCCCCTATGATCAAGTTGCTAAACCCAACGGTTTACAAGAAATGGTTCTCTATCTGTCTTCGTCCAAGTATGTAACTCGTAAACCAGCGGTCCTAGGCGAAAAGTGTATAGAATTTTTTTTTTGTTATAGAACTCGGTAATCCCTACAAGAATGCTCATATGATTTGACTGTCTAAACCCAACGGTTTACGAGAAAAGGTCTTCTGTCTTCGTCCATGTAACTTGTAAACCAGCGGTTCTAGGGGAAAAGTGCAGTAGCGTCTCAAAGTCTGAGGATACTTTGCGCATGCGCACTACAATTATAATATAAACTTATTTTGCACGTAACAAAAAAAAAATTTCAATTCACAAACGTAACATTGGTATATTTTTAAATCACAAACGATTTCCTGTCGATTACAGTTATCAGTTATCATAAAATCTGTTTATTACTAAAAAGATGTACTATATTTCATACGATATTGTACTATATTTTAATTTATAGATTATGGTTCCGTTAACGTTTATATTGCAACCAATAACAAAGCTCTGCTTTTCCGAAAAAGCAGTGCTCTCATTGGATATCGCTCATCGCTCATCGCGTCCAGTGTGCGAGGGCCATTAGTGGGAACGAACTCTTAAGGCCCTCACACACAGATCGGAGTAGCTGCAAATGCATAGCATAAGACCGTCTGAACCAATGAGCATCGAAATAAAATCGCCATATTGATTTACATAGCATGCTTATTGATCCAGATGGTCTTATGCTATGCATAAGCAGCTATGTCAATTTGTGTGTAAGGGCCTCTAGAATTCAATACGTTTAAGCCAGTATTCATAGTTTGTTCTTATATTTAAGATCATTTCAAGTATGATCTTAAGATGCTATGTCGCCATTTCATTGGTTGAATAAGATCTTAAGACGACCCAAGACTACGCTTAAGTGCCGGTCTACAATATATGACTTAAGCCCTAAGCCTTAAGAAATTGACCAATCACAATCAAGTATGAGGAGAATACTCGACTGTGATTAGTCAATTTCTTAAGGCTTAGGGCTTAAATCACCTATTGTAGACCGGCACTTAGTCTATTTTCTTAAGGCTTAGGGCTTAAACCACCTATTGTAGATCGGCACTAAAGCCCGTATCAGACTACGCATTGAAATTGAAGATTGAAGATTAAAGATTGGAATTTGACTAATGAGAACAAAACGGACTAAAATTTTTTTATTCTGGTTGGTCAAATTTCAATCTTGAATCTTTAATTTCAATCTTAATCTAATAATGCGTAATCTAATACGAGCTTAAGGTCGTAAGCAAATCAACCAATTACAGTTTGAACATTCTTACTACGTTTCAGAATGCTTGATTGTGATTGGTCAATTTGCTTACGGTCTTACGGTTACGACTAAAACTTTTTAACGTGCAATGGTTTAAAAGACTTTAATTCATAGTAGAATATAGTAATTAATTGATCAGGGTTGGATTAATTCGTTCATTCAAAATCGCTATTAGTATAGCTGTCAATCAGTATGTCCGATAAATAGCGTTTTCGAATGTAGCAAGTTTAATCGGTCTCAGAGCGATTAATGACGTCATTGCATCGTCTCTGCCAATAAAAGTCGTGAATTCATAGTACAATATAGTGATTAATTATACCGGATTGGGTGAACTTGTTCATTCGAAAATGTTAAAATATACAGGGTGTCTGACAAGTAAGTGACCAAACGGAAAGTGGAGGTAGATTGGGTCAAACTGAAAAGAAGTCCTGTACCATATGGCAGTGCAATAAAGTATGACGAGGAAAAGACAGTAATGGATGGAGAACTAAGGAAGAGAGGTATATGGTGGGATATCGACGTTATTGAGACTATCAGGGACAAAGATTGGTTAACATTCGAGTGCATCTTTAACTTTATTAAAAAATAAAGAGAATAATATAAGCAATTTTATACATAAGAAGAGGATCATAAGAACTAGAGACCCTGTGTCATATAATCTAAAGGCAAAGTTGAAGACACACCAAATTCTCTTCACCCAAAGAAAAAAACAAAAAAAAACTGAGTATTTTAAGGCCGGTATTCATAGTCCGTTCTTATATCCAAGATTGTCTTAAGCCCGAATCACACTAGCGGCTCGCGGCTGCGATTGCGATTGCGTTTGTGATTGTGATTTGCTACGCTCCCGTCATACTTGCAATTGGTGCTTTCTGATTGGCTGAGGCAATCGCAATCGCAGCCGCAAGCCGCTAATGTGATTCGGGCTTTAAGTGTGGTCTTGTGTCGTCTTAAGATTTTATTCAACCAATGAAATGGCCGCATAACATCTTAAGATCGTATCTTAAAACGATCTGCAATATAAGAACGGACTATGAATACCGCCCTAAAGGTGCCTTTACATGGCAGCGTCAAGCGTCGAGCGTCTGCGTAGAAAATTGCGCAGAACTGCCATGTAAAGGCACCTTAAGAACTCTTTTTGATAACTTATTGCTCACTGGGTAATTCCAATGTAATTACATAATTACATAATTAATAATTACATTGTAATATGTAATTATGTAATAACTATATTATATATAATTCCTTATAAATAATTTATAAATAATTTTGTACATAATCATCCCAGGTAGCAAAAGTAGTCTTTTTGACTTAATTTGACGTCAAAATGACTACTTTTGCTATTTGGGACAATGCTTTGTACATTAATGTAAGCAAGTATAAAGAATATTTATTTTTGTCATTCGACAACCAACTGGCGTATAGACAAATTCTTTATTGAAGCCTAATCAACCATATAGAAAAAGAAGAAGTTGTCATTCGACACTTGAACAGATAGACATTTAAAAGTGATGCATATACACTCATGCGTACGTTTTACGTCTTAATTTTCGAGACATGACTACGAGAAATATTACGGGATCATTCTCTAATGCACTATTAGGGATGAGTCTCTTATTTTGTATAATTATTTAATTTTTATGATTAAGTATATCGTGAGAGAGAGAGAGAGAGAGAGAGAGAGAGAGAGGCCACGATTTTCTTTTGAAACAAATATTTCGCGCGCTTTATTCGGTATCGATGATAAATAGGTACCGACGATCAGCATTCGTCGGTTTCCGCCATTATTCGTCATAGGGAGTGTCCGGCGATGTAGCGTCGCGTTTGTAATCAAACGCTTTTATATATTTGACATTTTTTATTTTATTCCTTAAGCTTGATTCGCGCTTTATTGTATCCAGTATGAGATCCAGTATGTTTAAATAAATATCTTAATCAGAACTCTCACAGTGAATATCTTAAACGAATTATTATATATGTAAAACGAATGAACAAAGTGGCACAGGCACAGGTTAACAAGGTAGTCATCTAGGGGGAGTGTCTAAGAGCTGAATTTTATCAGTTCTATTTTTGTCATAATCGCATTTTTGTTAAACAATATTCTCAATCAGTATCAGTGGTATAATACTGTAAATTATAATTTGATACTTCTAAAATGTTTATTGCATAATACGTTACAAGGTGTCCAGAATGATGTCTTATTTATTGAGTAGCGTGGCATTCTCGCTAATTCTTTTATTACCTGCGTTTGCACAAAATATTTTGTACGGAGAACCAACTTATGAGTGCCCTCAACATTGGATGCAATTTCAAGAATCATGCTATCGTTTTATCAAGAGTCCGCTGAGACCGCGAGAGGATGCACGAAGGAATTGTCAAGCATTTCAAAGTGATCTACTTACTATTAATACAATAGAGGAGCATGGATTTGTACTCTATCAATTGCTATGGCAGGATCCGCAACATCGTAGATGGTATACTGGAGTAAAACTACAGAGTGGCTTATGGATAAATGAGGCTGATAGTACAACCTTAATAAATATGGATAATGCCTTTCTACCTGAACCCAATGACAATATAATAGGAAGAGATTATTTGGCATACTCCTATTCTAATAACCTTCAGCGTTGGGGATTAGAAAAGGTCACTGGCAGAGAAGCGCTCTTATATATTTGCGAAGCACCCATTGCTACTCTTCATAACTTGGTAGATGATGATCGTACTTATCAATATGGCATTGATATTGATAACCCTCTTCAAATACCTAGAGGACCATATTTTATAAAACAACCTATAAGCAAAGTATTTGACGTATCAAAGAGAAGGATAAGTAATGATGTTTCCCTGAGTTGTCTAGCAGGTGGCTACCCTACTCCAACCTATGAATGGTTTAAAGAAGATTATGAAAATGATCGGCTTATTGCAACAAAAATAGATCCTCTTTCAAATAGCAGATATACTGTGAGCGGCGGAACATTGATCATTTATGAGCCTGAACAAGTAAAGATTTTTCTAGTTTTTTTCAAACACGTAATAAATATGTAGATTATTTCTTGTTTTAATGTTATTTGTATTTATGTTGTACTGATTATATTGTATTATTAATTATATGTTATTTATTTACAGACAGAAGATCGTGGCTCGTATCATTGCAAGGCTACTAATAAATTTGGTACAATTATATCTGAGAGTGTTGAATTGTCATTTGGATATATCCTAGAATTTAATTTAAAACGTTCTGAGGAACGTGGAGATAATCACTGGGGTAAAGCAGTTTATTGTGATCCACCGCAACATTTTCCGGGTGTAAAGTATTACTGGGCGCGCGATTATTTTCCCAATTTTGTCGAAGAGGATAAACGCGTATTTGTTTCGCATGATGGAGCGCTTTACTTCTCTACACTGGAAACGATCGACCGAGGAAACTATTCGTGCAATGTTCAAAGTGTCGCATCTGATACTGGACGTAACGGGCCATTCTTTCCGTTAAGAGTGAATATGCACTGTAATTATTCTGAATTATTTTTTAAAAATATCTGTGTAACAATAGAATAGTAAACTTCATCACTTTCTAAATTTTTCAGCCTCATTCCAGCAGCTGAAGTTTCCCAATAATTTCCCAAAGGCGTTTCCAGAAGCACCAATAGCTGGAGAGGAAGTTAGATTGGAATGTATTGCATTTGGATAGTAAGTTTATATATATATATATATATATATATATTTTTTATATATATAAAGATGTATGAACATTTTTGTAATTATAATTAATAATTTATTTGCATTTAGTCCCGTTCCCTCATACAATTGGACAAGAAGGGGTTCTGTCTTGCCGCGCGGTGCGTACGCGACGAGTTATAATCGGGTGTTGATAATACCTCGTGTTCGTGTGGAGGATCAAGGCGAATATGTTTGCCGGGTGTACAACGACAGACTGTCAATCGAGAATTCCGTACGATTGACCATACAAGCAGCGCCTAATTTTACTATCCCGTTGGTGGACAAACACATGGATAACAGGGCAGATCTAACCTGGACCTGTGAAGCATTTGGCATACCAGATGTTACTTATAGTTGGTTCAGAAACGGAGAACTTTTGGACATGTATACTCTGCCGCCTGAAGATAGGAATCGTTACACTATACAAGATAATGTACTAAATATAAAGCATCTGGATTCTGAAAAGGATCATGCTATGTATCAGTGTCGTGCGAGAAATCAGCTGAAGACAACATATTCATCGGCGCAACTTAGAGTCCTATGTGAATATTTACAGTTCTTTCAATTATATCATGATAATGAGAGCCACATAAGAAGTAATGTTTCTTCAACATTTCAGCGTTGAAACCTTCTTTTAAGAAGCGGCCTATGGAATCCGAAACATATGCGGCGGAAGGTGGTAATGTCACAATTGTATGTAAACCCGAAGCCGCGCCTAGGCCGAAATTCGTATGGAAGAAAGATGGAAACGTGATCGGATCAGGCGGTAGGAGAAGAATTCTGGAAACCGGAAACCTCATCATTAGCCCGGTATCACGAGACGATGAAGGAACATATGTGTGCACAGCAACGAATCAGTACGGCAGCGATGAAACTCGTGGACGATTAATTGTACTACGTAAGTTAATAATTTTATATTTTAAATATTTTTATAAATTTACAAATGACATTTTGTAAGAAAAGCACACAAGATATATATTAAGTTAAATTATCAAAGCAATTAACCGTATTAAGGATTTGTCATTTATGCATATTTTAAGTTGTTCAGCAACTGATTATTTAAAATTATTCATACAGGCGGACCACAACTTATTGAAAGATTGCCGCCACAAATAATTGTGTCCTATAATTTTAATCAGACATTGCGTTGCTTGGGCCACACAGACGAAATGTTAGATGTGGCGTATATTTGGACGCATAATGGTATACGTATTCGCGATAAAGATTTGCAAAATAATCCGCGATGGCACATTGATGGTGAATATCTAGACATTATAAATGCCACGTTCGCTGAATCCGGCGAATACGGGTGTATCTTGAAAAGCGCTGTTGGTGAAATATCGAGCAAGACCAATCTGATCGTGCACGGGCCACCGGGACCACCTGGTGGAGTGCAGGTTGTGAATATTGTCAAAACTTCAGCCACATTACGATGGACCGATGGTGCCTTGAACGGTAGACTGATAACTATGTACGCAATTAGTGCGCGTACAAATTGGAATCGCACGTGGTTTCCTCTCGTAGAAAGTAAGTTCCCCAGTTTCAATAATTATATATTTTTTTATAAGAATTATTTTAACAATAAGGATACTTATTAATTATCTTTTTAATATGCTTTTAATACTGAGAATACTTTCAAAACCAATTCATGTTTATTTTATTATTATTTGTAGATATTACAGCTATTGAGATGGATAGATACAATGGCCGAAAAGAGGCGTTCCTAGAAAACGTTCTCAGTCCTTACACTATATATGAGTTTCGTGTGCTAGCCTTCAATGAACTTGGTTATGGTCCTCCATCGTCTCCTTCACCTCAATATAGTACTCCGTCCGACAAACCCACAAAATCACCGTCGAATATTAGTGGTGGTGGAGGAAAGATTGGAGACCTTACAATCACATGGGATCCTCTTAGTCCATCCGAGCAAAATGGTCCTGGAACATATTACAAAATATTCTGGCGTCGCAAAGGACACGACACGGAGTACCAGTCGTTATCTTTAAAGGAATATGGCAATGTCGGTAGCAGCGTCTTGTCGATCCAACCGAAGTATTACTACACGGAATACGAAGTGAAAGTACAAGCGATTAACGCGATAGGCGAGGGTCCTATATCGGAAAACATGACAGTGTACAGCGCGGAGGATATGCCGCAAGTCGCACCGCAACAAGTGTTTGCCTTGAGCTATAACAGCACCAGCTTGAACGTCAGTTGGCTGCCGATTGAACAAACTCGTGAACGAGTGCGAGGCAAGCTGATTGGACATAGGATCAAATACTGGAAGGAAAGTAACCGCGAAGAAGACGCTACTTATTACTTATCGCGCACCACTCGTCCTTGGTCATTAGTAGTTGGATTGCAACCAGATACATATTATTACGTAAAGGTAAAGTGTAGAAGAATTTTTTATTTGAATTTCTATTAGAACATATACCAAAAAAAATTTACTAAAAAAGCTATCTGATTAAAGAGAATTAATTTGTTTTAAAAAATATTTCTCTAATAATTTCTCTTAAATTAATCTCTGATGATTAAAAATATTTATTTATGCTTGTATATATAATATTATTTAAAAAATAAAAGCGGAAAATATTTGAAGTTGTGGCAAATTTAAATTTAAATAAAGATCATTAATTCTATAAAGGTGATGGCCTACAACTCCGCCGGAGAAGGTCCGGAAAGCGAACGATATCTGGAGCGAACTTACCGCAAAGCGCCGCAAAATCCGCCGTCTTCGGTGAATGTGTACGGCGTGAACCCGTCGACGGTGAGAGTCGTTTGGCGTTATGTACAGCCAAGTTTCGAGGAGGAACCGCTAATCGGATACAAAATACGTGTGTGGGAAGTCGATCAAGACATGAGCACAGCGAACGATACAATAATACCAGGCGGCTCCAAGCTGGAAGCTGATATCAAGAATCTGAGCCCGGGCAAGGCGTATCACTTGAGAGTGCTCGCGTTCAGTAACGGTGGCGACGGTCGTATGTCGAGTCCCACTCATACATTCCAGATGGGCGATGCCGCAGCCTTCAGAAGCAGCGCCGGGAACAAAATTCTGGATGCCGCTCTGGGGATAACTTTCTTACTGCTATTACGGGTCTATGGCTACATATAGTGTAAAGTAACCCCTAATAATTATGTAGGTCATAATAAGATTTAACGGCTGTAAATTTTATACAGATTTCTTAAATGAACAAACTAAAAAATTTAACAAAAACTAAAATACAAATTTTAAAATGAGATTTATAATAAGATATTATAGATTTCTTTGTTCATACACACTTAGATCGCTTAAGCAATTTCACATGTCAGTAAACTAATCATTTTTTTGATAGCCTAAAAATTAATATATATTGCTATGCTACTAGTGCGCTATGTAGTGCAATGACAGTCGTTTTTGTTCTTTATGTTTAACAACGATAACTCATTGCTTAAATACTTCCACAACTTTTTTTTAAGAAGCATTACGATATTATGAGTCTACAAAGAGACTGAAATTGATTTGCATTTTTTATTCTAATTACGCAAAATAATATGTGTGTTTAGCATAATTTTTATTCTATATGATAGAAAAAAATATTCTATTTGCTTATATATATCTTTTTGGCATACATATTAATAATATTTTAAAATTCTCATAAATAATTTCTCTATTATTTCTTTATTATATAACTAATTATTATATACACATGAAGTATTTTAAGTAAATTGTGCAAAATTTTTATATATTTTGTCTATTTATATATATATATATATCTTTTTATTACTTCCTCATTCTCGTAAAGCAAATGTTAATATTAATTAATAATTTCATGTTATGTTTACATTTTATTCAAAAATTGCCAAGTTTTGTGTAACTATAAAATTATATTCTACAGCAGAGCTGCCAATTCGTGGGAAATGGGAGCCCCCACCACTTACCGCGGGACTTACTAACACAGACGTAGTCGCTATGTCATAGCGTGTACGTGTAGCTTCGTGCGTGGGGGCCCCCGAGGGCTCCCATTTCCCACGAACTGGCAGCTCTGTTCTACAGTATATTTTTGAGGTAAGCAAAATAATTTGAAGTAAATCCAACATGGTACATACTTGTACATTGAATAATGTATATTTAAAATTAATTTAGGGATATAAGAATTCTTTTTACATTTAGACTCTTATATAGATTATGAAACGAGCATTTTCCGTAAAAATTAACACATTCATTGTTCTTTACATTGTACTATATATACTAAAAATCTGTTTATTTGCCAAAAAAATGAAAAGCACACTGATGAAGAAAATGTTTCGTTATACTATGTAAACGATTTCGTTATACTGTGTATACGACTTGAGATCTAGATATACATATATGGATGTAATTATATAGGTCTAAAACAAAAAAGGAAATAAAAATCTTGGATAAATTATAATAAATTGCGCTCGTGCAAAAATATATATTCAATACTAAGTTACACATATATATTAAAATGCTATGGTTTACGAGTAATGAGTAGGAATTAATGGCAATTAACAGATAATAAGGACTACAATGTCATAATGTATAAAGCAGCGTAATTTTCCGTCCATGTATACAGAAGTAGGTAATGAACACTCTGCTAATTTTGATAATATTGCGAATATTTGTTAATCACTGAACTATTCTAATGCTCTGTAAATTATTTTAGTTTTTAATTTTTTTATGCATTATCGTAATTATCAATAAACTTTCTAAATAGAGCTTTTTTGTATAAATATTTTTTGTTTGATTTTTGTTTGATATACATAATATTAGAATAGTTCAGAGATATATTATATAATAAAAGTTTATATAAACCATAATAGTGTTCATATGAGTGTACTACAAGATATGTCTCAGAAATTATATATATTATATATATTTATATTGTGTATATAAATAATAATTTATATATATATATAACACAAATAATGAAGAAACAGAATTTTGGTACATGTGTGTACACGCGCGTGCTAAAATCGTCGCTAGAAAAATCTTTGACATCGATTGTTTAATTAGGAAAATAGATATGGCAGTAGGAAGTACATTCATTACTTTAATCGTATATATTTTTTTTATACATTATTATATCAGAAATATATACATTGTATAATAACAAAATTTTTACAATATTAACATTGTTATTCTTTGTTTTCTATAACAGCTTTATAATCTGCATGTAAGATATTTTTAGTTATTTACATCTTTTTTAAACATATTTTTCTAAAAGAAGGTGTATCTCACATTATATACACTACCGCTCAAAAGTATTTGGCCACCATCGGTTTCGTGGATAATTTTTATATAAAAGCGTTAGCTAGCACTTTACCTATATTTTCTTTATGTACACATGTATCGTCGTTAAATAAGGCATTTTGAAATAATATTTTGATTATCACTAATATAAGTTTAAGATTACGTACGAGTTTAGGTTTAGGATCGGGGCCTCTGGTGGCTCAGGGAGTAGCGCGCCTGACTCACATCCCAGAGAACTCGGGTTCGATTCCCGACTCCGACCCCTGGCCTGCGCTTTCCTATTTTTCCTTTCCTACCACCTCCCTAACACAAATTCCTTCCTTCCCCCAAGAGGAACCTACATATATACGACATTATTCTATCTTTAAAACCAGTTTATGGCCGTATAGCGAGTATTCGCTGGAGCCAATCCCAAAACCCAAGCAACCAACCAACCAAGGTTTAGGATCAGTACTTAACGTAACGTAATGCATTACGGAAAAGCTTGTGCGGTGGCCCTAAAGCGGGGAGCACACACTTTTGCATAAGCGCATAATCATAAGCATAAGGAATTTGATTGGTCAATTTATGCTTATGCTCCCCGCTTAAGGTGCCATTACATGGCAGCGTTAAGGTGCCTTTACATGGCAGCGTCGAGCGTCTGCGCAGAAAATTGCGCAGAATCTAATTTAACGCTCGACGCTTGACGCTTGACGCTGCCATGTAAAGGCACCTTAAGGGTACCGTGTAACAGAGCTCATTGTTTGTATGTACCGCTATAGACAGACATGTGTGGCCGTGTTCCGATATTCACTGCCAGTACTGAAAATCTATAGTATATGTGACGTAAACTATAGATTTTTAGTACTGGCAGTGAATATCGGAACACGGCCTGTATCTGCACGTGTCGAGGTATCGAACATGTGATCATGCACGATGGATATAAATTTGTCCAGTTTATCTGTGATTGCCGGTGATTTATCTTCTTGAAACTTTATAGTGGCGAGATAACAATATTGAGCGATACATATAACTGCGAATATACGTACAAAAAAGGTGATCGTTTAAGCATTGATCGCGAGAACGAAAGGAGTACTCTGTTTGTTTTGTTGACATTTTTAGAGGTTAATCATGCTGCGAATTCTTAGTCGCTCAATGCGCTCGGCGCATCTCCTCAAGGAGACCACGAAAGTCATCTGCGTGTCAAACGTGAGAAATTTGAATCTGTTGGAATACCAGAGCAAAGAACTCCTGCGCGATTCAGGTGTGTCAGTACAAAATTTTGCCATCGTCGACGACCTAACCAAGACGAATTCTGCTTTGGAGAAACTACGTGAGTATTTCAGTGTTCCTTGTCACCTTTGCATATATTAATACATAGAAAAGTTCTATGTTCGCAATGTACAGTTAAATTTCAAGATGAATATGGAGTGATTCGTTAAAGTGCGCCTATATGTGTCAATATGTTAACAGTTACTTGTAGTCATTATAAGTAACTGCATAATTATATAAATTATTTGAATATACATATACAGTGCTTATTTTATAATTTGCTATTTATTTATTCTTGTAGACGCGGATGAATTTGTTATTAAAGCTCAAGTCTTAGCAGGAGGTCGTGGTAAGGGTTGGTTCGATAATGGATTCAAGGGAGGTGTGCATCTCACCAAAGAGTAAGTTTGATAGCATTATAGATTTTTGTAAAAATATTTTGCGAAATATCTTTCTTTTACACACACACATGCACATAGCTCTAAAATATTTTGTTTATTAAAAAACAGATCATTATTACAATTTGCATACCATATAATGAGATATTTATTTACAAGCGCCAGTTCTATAAAAAGAAACAATATCAATTAATAACAAACAATAAAGGGCAATGTTTTTTTGTTGCGTTTTATATTTTTATATTAGAGATGTCATGTATATATTACATGATTATATTTTTTTCCATGTATATAAAATATTATAGATAATATTTTATGTTATATAATTCGTTATCGTCCTTCTTTTCCCTTCTAATAGTCGTGATGCTGTTACCAATTATGTGAAGAATATGTTAGGTCATCGCCTCATTACTAAACAGACATCAAATGATGGCATATTGGTACAGAAGATTATGATAGCCGAGTCAGTAGATATCGCACGAGAAACTTATATCTGTATTCTCATGGATCGTCAGCATAATGGCCCTGTGCTGATAGCATCTCCAGCAGGTGGGATGGATATTGAGGCAGTTGCGGAGAAACATCCTGAGCAAATAAAAACTGTTCCATTGGATATTTATCATGGAATCGATGACGAAATAGCAAAGGATGTATGCACTTTTCTGGGATTCTCCGATCCAGATATCCTTAACAAAGCCATATATGAATTGAAAAATTTGTGGAAACTGTTCGTGGATATTGACGCTCTGCAAATTGAAATCAATCCGCTGGTAGAAACAATGGATAAGCAAGTGGTAGCGGTAGATGCAAAAATCGCATTCGATGATAATGCTCAGTTCAGACAGCAGAATCTGTTTGCTTTAGAGGATGTTAGTGAAAAAGATCCCAGAGAGGTGGATGCGTTGCGATATAATTTGAATTATATCGGAATGGATGGCAACATAGGATGCTTAGGTAAAATACATTTTATTATAATCATCATTGCAAATAAATTAAATGTACAAACAAATAAGGAGTAAAAAGTTATGAAATATCAATGAGTATTTCAATATATTTGAATAATATCTGATATAAGTATATAAGTATATGGGGATAAATCTTTATATGTATAGTAAATGGAGCTGGTCTAGCCATGGCTACAATGGATATTATTAAATTAAATGGAGGATTGCCAGCTAATTTTTTAGATGTCGGCGGTAATGTGAAGGAAGACCAGGTCTTTCAAGCGTTTAGAATCCTCAGCGAAGGTAGAGTACAAAATATAGAATGGTTTAAATATGAATATAAAACATAAATTCCTTTTTTTTCTTTAGATCCAAAAGTCAAAGCTATTCTCGTTAACGTTTTCGGAGGTATCGTGAATTGCATAACGATAGCAAGAGGAATTATCGCAGCATCACGAAACTTAGGACTTCAAATACCGCTTATTGTAAGGCTAGAAGGTAAGATGTGTGTATACCGATATTCTTTTTTTTATTTCTTATTTATTATTCATAGATTTTATAATTTTATTATATATTTTATTTTGCTTGTATTATTGCAATATAATTTACGAATAAATTTCAAGTATTTTTGTAGCGATTTATTTTTTATTAGGCACTAATGTGACAGAAGCTAAAAAGGTTTTGGCCGAATCTGGATTGTCCATTCTCACAGCGAATAATTTAGATGAAGCAGCGAGAAAAGCGGTAATCTCTGTAAATACATAATTGTATTAATACAATGATACATCGTCGGTTTATACCTATTTAAGACTGGAAATCTGTGGTTTTAATACAAGAGAACAATAATGTTAGGAATAGCTTGAAGTAATAAGTATATAATTTTTTCATACTAGAATATCATGTTTTGGGATATTTTTATAACTTAAATGTAAATATATATCTGAATACTGCCTACTAATGTTTATCTCTCTCTCTCTCTCTCTCTCTCTCTCTCTCTCTCTCTCTCTTTCTCTCTCTCTCATTGCTTTTTTATATTTTATTATTCAAGTACCAAGTACCTGTAGTCTTTGATTTGATTATTGCTCACATTTGATATACTTCAATCTTATTCATCTCATCTTAATTAACATCTTTAAAATTCTAAACACACAGATCTGTCTTTATTAACAAGGTACGATTATTATTAGAATTTTGGAATAGTTTTCTCAATTCTTTATTAAAACTAAATCAAAATATATCATTACTTTATGGTATGTTAGCGTATTTTAAATTATTGATGTTTGAAAATATTTAATAATCATATATCTTCATATACAAAATTAATATTCCAAAATGATTTGCATCTAGGTATAGAACTTTATATTAGTGAAATTTAGTTCTTGTTATTATTTTCTCACACTTATTTCAACTCATTTTAATTAGAATATTTGTTTGATTATTTGTTTATTTATCTAGTTTATGTTATATGATGAATGATGTACTATGTAGAATTAGAATTTTGTTTGTTGATAAGCAGGCAAAATAGATGATTAACGTTTGATTATAGTTTACGTTGTTTAATTATGATTTGTTACACGATTTGTTTCTGTTGGCCATTTTCTAATAAACACAAATTATTTTGCATAGTTGAAATTGGTGGTAATGCGAAATTAATTAGCATGTACATACATTTTTATTTTTATTGTGTACATACATTTATTCTTGTTAGACTTAAATTGATTTATATTGAAAAATAAATGTATTCTTATTTAATCTCTTTAGTTTATCTAGGAATTTTTAGTTTATTTTTATATATTTTTTCTAATATTTTGTTATATAAGAATCTTTTGATAGTTTTAATTTCATTATATTGTATATATGTGTGTA